GGCTGTGTCCCCTCCCAGCTTCTTGTGCCCCCCCACCCTGCTGGCTGGTGGGGTGGGGTGAGGAGCAGAAAAGGCCTTGACTGTGTGTCAGCACTGCTCAGCAGTAACGAAAACATCCCTGTGTTATCAACACTGTTTCCAGCACAAATCCAAAACATAGACCCATCCATACCAGCATGAAGAAAATTAACTCTATCCCAGCCAGAACCAGCACAATCGTGCACAATTTTCTAGGGAGTAAAAGTAATTCTTCCTTGCATTAACGCAGTGTCCACCATGGGCACGTGACAATCCCAAGTGCATTGTCCCTTTCCATTCTCATTCAGTGAAAAGGTAAATATGACTCAGTACCCAGATGGGTGCCTCACCTCCCCTGCTCGCTCTCAAAGCTGTCCAGACATGAGCCATCTTTTGCCTGGAAGCTGTACAGCCCCGCTCACACATTTTGGTGTCTCAGGAGGCCTTCCTAAGATGACAGGTAACTCTGAACTGCTCCCGAATCCTATCTAGCCAGTTTGCAGCATTAGCAGAGAAGCTGTCTCATAGCACAGACTGCTCTAAGCACACCATCTTGTAGTTTTGTTTAATCTAAAATGCATGGTGGCATGGAACATCTGAGATACCACAGCCAATTAAGAACATTTTAGAACAGTCATTGTTTAATGTAAAATTAATGTTTTATTTAAGCTTTGGATCTATTGAGTGTAGCACAGCATCAGTTTCTATTGTCTTTATGCATTAGCCACCATAGAAGAGATGACAAAGTACTACTAAACACATCCTTAAAAGTTCAGAATCTTTTTTGAGAGGAAGCAGAAGACCAAGCACTGACACCGAGTTACTTTCACTGTTAGTAAATAATGGTCTGGATTGTCTGGCAAAGCAATATTGGCCATGGCAGTAACTTATCTTTCTGTCAAGTGAGCAGATGCAGAGGTAGCCTGTGGGCCAATACTTTAATAAGATGTCTAAATCCCGTTTAGATATTTGAATCTCTATGGAGATGCCTGTTTTACTTACGTAACCATGGATGTAGACTCCACTGTCTGTGAGCGTCCTAATCCACTTCAGTGAGAAGGGTCATGCCCTTTTGTACAAAAAGCATGAATGCAATTACCACAGAGGTGACTGCTAAAAGCCATCCAGTAATAGCACAGCCTTAAGAGAAGACGAGCAATCTCTTTTGGCATAATGTGAAAACTTTTTGCCTTTGAGAAACTTTTTATAGTGATTTTATAACTCATATTTAGTAAATTGCACCGAGAACAAAGCAGGTTCATTCACATCAGTTTCTTGTCTTTGCAAATGGGCTGCTTGATCTGCACAGGCTTATAGCATGGGAAATTTCCAGTCTGCTGTGGAGAAAGTACAGGGCTGTGAATCCTTCAGAATTGCTTAAAAGCTTCTCTTAACTTTACCACCTTCACCTGTTCCCAGTTAACACTTAAGGCTTATAGCAGGGGCAAGGCTCTAGTGACCTCTGATCCTCACATTTGGGGAGCAAAAAGAACCCACTTTATACTTTACCAGAAGCTTGTGAAGCATACTGGCAGATTCAGTTAAAGCAATCAAGTAACACGCTCTTCAGCTGTGCTAGGGATGAAAAATTGAGAGTTTCCTCTCATTTATTTACTATTGCTCCTTAGCTGTGCACAAGTGATGTACAACTGTGAACATGCAACATGCTAGTATAGGAGATAGTTTTCTCTTCCCAGAAAAAAAATTATAAGTTTATCAATAAGATTTTCCCCACAATATTCATAACTTACATAAACAGATTTAACAATTTTCTGAATTTTATTTAAAGCATACCCTCTTGCTTTGATGTTTTCCTATCACAGCACTCAACATTTTAAACCATTACATATGCTTATTGACATCACTGGGAATCACCTGCAGAGGAATTCTGGGGTCAGCTGTAATCACTGTCACAGTCATCTGGATCTCTGCTGGAGCTACTCTGACCTCTAGCATAGTTTCCAGCAATGTTGACTTTAAGCGTTACTAATTATAGAGATTCTTTGGTTTCTCTTCAGGGACTATACCATTGTCAGAGAAATTCATGATCAGATTAAGATTTGCCTGTATTTTACTTTGTTAGAGAAATTATTTCCATTGTTGCAAATTCACATCACACTCTCCTTGTCTTTCAACAGCTTTCAGATAGCTAATGTGGCTATTTTAAATGTACCTCTTTCTGGAGTTTCCTTCTGTCAGTTACACCCTGTGTCCTCTAAATATATTCTTTGTATATCCATTAATTTTAAATTTTGAATGGTTACTGTCAATATTTGTTCTTTTAATGAGGGACATACGTTGTGTTGCTTCTGAAATGGTAACTAGTAAAATAAAACACGCTTCCTTCATTCCTACTTGGAAAGACAACAAATATGCAACAAATACATATTATATCTATAATACCTGTTCAATTTTCTGTTGTTTTGTAGCACTCCTTGCTGCAAAATGTGTTCAGTAATCATCTTTGCACCCTAGAAAATGTATCAGGGAAACAGACTGGTCCACACAGAACATTTTCTTATGTGTGTTTTAACTGTTCCTTAGAAATAGCTGTTTTGCAGGT